TTTTTTTTACTTTTGTATTTTTCTGTTCTTGAAAAAACCCCTTTTTTAACAGTCGTCAAATAGTATCAAATCACACGCTTTGAACGAGTAAAACGAGTTGTTTTGTTTTTGTTTTCCTTTTTTGTTGTACATTTGAATAAATTTTAGCGAAAATAGCTATTTGGGTGTTTTACATAATCCAAACAATTCATCACAATAATGATATTAAATAGTAGAGTATAAAACACTATCAATAAATCGTTTCATAGCCATTTTTTTAACGCTAAATCTGGTCAGGCAATTTGGGCTGACAAAAGCTAGTCCCGCTTCTCCTTTTTTTCATGAAAGCTTTTTAGTTACTTATTAGTTTTTTTATTTTTGAAATGACCGAAAGGATTCTTGTTTCAACCCTAATTGTCTGTGTCTTCATGACGCTATGTTGTATTAATGAAGCCTGTACAGAAGTGCTAAATAAAGTAAGGCTTTTTCACTTCGCTTGCAATAAATGACGTTATTTCACATTATTATTTAGATTATTCTTGGTGAACCAAAGAGGCTCTGAAAAAGTTCTCAATTTTTGAGTCAACTATTTGAATCATGCAAAAAAAACTTTGCCAGCACTTTCACCTAGAAGGCTCTGTATAACCAGACAAAAAAAACTTTTTTTCGCAGAAACATTATTGCTTACAGAATGCCTATTTTCAAATTATTCGGATGCTGTTCTCATATCCGGGTTCCGGTAAATCGATCTTGATTACCAGTTTAAAAAATGCTGTATTTCGCCAGAATTTTACATGGGATCAACAGCAGTATGAAAGTTTCAATAGTGGAATTGAAGATTTGAAATACTATGAAATTCTGAGCGCTGCGTCTGGACGACTTGGATATTGGCGACGTATAGGTGAAGGTATCGAAAATTTTTTGAAAAAAAATCTATCTCAGGAAGAAGACATTAGGCAAATCAAATTAGAAGATCGTAATGGTAAATTATTTGGAACGTTTGGTAGCTTTGCTGATATGGTACACTTTGTAAGTCTTCTTACTTTACCAATAACTTTTTAAATTTGCAAACTGAACTAAGGTTCCTTAGGATTTCAGAATTCGGTCAAAATCTCAGAAATCATATCTACTGATCTAATAAATTATGGGCTGTAATGTTCAGGAAAGCTGTCATGAATTTTCACTAAAATACCATAAGAAATTAAAAAGAACTAACCTTTTTGTTGTTAGTTACTAATGAGAATAAAAAAAAGTGGCACAAATATTACTGTTTCAACTATTAGAATAAATTAAAATCTTTCAAATCTACTAATGCCTTACAGTTGTTTGACGATA